CTAGTCTGTTATTTCGGAATTAGCCAAGTTAATTCGGAAAAAAAAAAAAAGAATTCTGTCCACACGACCAAACTGTTTTTTTCGATTTAAAGGGCTCTTTAATCCGATTTCTGTACTCCACCTTGGCAAGTGGAGTAGTGCTTAAATCGAGATCGCAATCCCGGGTTAAAGGTATTGTGGACGCAATTCAACGTTATTGGCCTCCGGGAACTATCCCAGAATGCTCCCTGGTGACCGTTCTGGACAGCACTCTCAACTCCAATGCACTAGCCAGGTGGGCAGGAAAAGCCCCGGGAACTTTCGAATTTCATTTCTTGTTTGGTCACCATCAGCACAGTCCACCATCACAGGCAACCATGCAGAGTCCACCATCACAGGAGATCACGCAGTCCCAGATTCGCAGACGAGCTCCAGCATGGTCCGAACGGGAGGTACTGGATCTCATCGCATTTTGGGGAGACGAGTCTGTTATGGCAGAACTACCTTCCAAAAAAACGAATGCAAATACGTACACTAAAGTCTCCAGGGCCATGACGGAAAGAAGCTACTCCAGGGACACAGAGCAGTGTCGTACAGAAATCAAGGAGCTCAGGCAAGCGTACCAAAATCCAGGGGGGCAAATGGGCGCTCTGGGTCACAGCCCCATACATTCCACTTCTACTGTGAGCTGCATGCGATTATGGGGGGTGATGCCACCACTACCCCACCACTGTCCCTGGACATCTGCAAGGGGGGAGTTGCACGGAGCGAGGAGGAAGAGTCATTGGAGGATGAAGAGGAGGAGGACAGTGCACAGGCGGCAAGTGGAGAATCCGTTTTCCCCCCTAGCCAGGAACTATTCTTAACGCTGGAGCCAATAGCCTCCCCCCACTCCCAAGGCGGGCTCCCGGACCATGACCCTGGAGAAGGTACTTCTGGTGAGTGAGAGCCTGATCGGAGCCACATGGTGGGGGGCGGGGGGAAACCCAGCTGGGCTGGGCTGTTCGCGTTTAGTTTAAAGGGCTCATCCCTGCTCAGAGCCTCATCAAAGCCACGCGGTGGGGGCGGGAGGTGTTGTGTGAAGCGATCATCCCGGAGAGCCTGAAGGCCCTCCTTTTATATGGCAAACCCACCAGGCATTGCTTGCTATGGGGAAGGGGGCCCAGCAGTTTGAAAGCATTGAAATGAATGTAGAAGAAGCAAAACCCCGCGTGCCCCTAGGCTGCCTGCAAGCTGAATTCTGTTGCCTGGCCGTGTGTGATGGCTTACTCACACCAAAGTGTCCCCTTTGTTCTCTGAAATGTATCTTTTAAAATACTACCCTCCCTTTTTCTCCTCCCACAGGTGCAAATGTTTCAAAGTGGCCACTATCTACTCCGTCCCAGAGGCTGGTCCAGATTAGAAGGCGGAAAAAATGAACTCAGGACGACATGTTCGCCGAGCTCATGCAGTCCTCCCCCACTGATAGGGCCCAGCTGAATGCGTGGAGGCAAACAATTGCGGAGTCCCATAAAGCATTACAGGAACACGAAGAGAGGAGGGACACGCGTGATGAGAGCAGGCAGGACGCTATGGTCAAGCTCATGGGGGAGCAAACTGACATGTTCCGCTGTATGATGGATCTAATGCGGGAAAGGCAGCAAGACGACAGACTGCCGCTGCAGCCCCTGTATAACTGCTCTCCCTCCTCCCCAAGTTCCATAGCCTCCTCACCCAGACGCCCAAGAACACGATGGGGGAGGCTACGGGGACCCACACACGCAACCCCAGAGGATCGCCCAAGCAGCAGAAAACTGGGATATGCGAACTTTTGATTTAGTTTCTGGACTTGTCCTTCCCTCCTCCTCCACCTCCCTAACCCAATACTCCCTTCTCCCCCTTCCCCGGTCTACCTTCGGATTTCTCTCAATTTGTTGTGCAAC